AGAAAAAGAGATGGCCATAAGGGACGTCAAAATGATGATAACAATTGAGGATTTACTGATAGTTTCTCCGTTGGAATATATTCATTTCAATTCATCCATCCATTTGCTTCCCTTTTTCATCTAGATGAATACCTTTCTAGATAAATTACAGACAATTATCCGTACTGCCATCCGCAGGAAACTTGCAGATGGCAATTAATTTCCACAAAAAATGCACATATTTAAGTAAGAAGATTTTCCATTCAAAAATTCCCCAAAAATAAACAGCAGTAAATTTTCTCAGTAACGACGAAGTTCGCCGGTTTTGATTTGTATAGCGGACTAAATTGTTGAAGAAATCCATGAATGAACCAGATCAATGAACAAAGAACGTTTGCAAAGAGCTTGTCATTGCAGAAGATCTTTATTGCAAAACGTGTTCTTCTTCCGAAAAAATTACTCCTCAAAAGCTACATATCTAACAGGAATCGCAAGTTTCTTGATCTTCCCTGACGTTGGGAGTTATTCACTGGAGAAAAATTTAACCACAACTGAGGCAAAAATCCAACTTTACCAGCGCAATAAACACAAATAAGAAGACTGAGCGGCATAACGAAAGACTAAGAAGACAATAAAATTTACGAGTGTGAACTTTTTACATGTTCGAAAACAAAATAAAAAAAATAATAATAAATTGATAAAGAAGTGATAGAGAGGTAAGAAATATTACAATATATCAACTTGGATGACGAGCTCGATAAAAGAAAGAATTAATTAAGAAAAAAGCCACAACAAAACAAAAACGAGAAAAGAAAACCATTCGCAATTAAATTCACATAAAGGTACTCAAACAAACTATCTGCGAAAGTATCTTTTCATCACCAATAATTTATTTGGTTAAGAAGTTTAAGAAAGTGTTAAGCTATCTTTAAACATTTTTGCTATTGTGGAGATGAATAACAAAACTTCCTTAAAACATATAACATGCAGGTGTTAAACGGTTACTGTGACTATGAAGGACTAATGTCTCTCCTCTACATAAATGAGTAATGGTGAGGCTAACCTTGTGATGAGACGTAAGCAAGTATCATGAAGCACAAAAGTAACAGAACAAAGATAAAAATCGACTTCTTCATCGCGCGGATCGCCAGGTTTCCGCGACCGACTTCCGGAATTATGCGCAAATTGATGCGAAAAACTTATTTGAGTTGTTTTTGTTATGGTAAAATTTTTTTTTTTAAACAATGAGACTTGGGTGTTTCCTTACTGTTTTTCGTTTTAATTTGATATCTTTGACCCTTGTTCCAGCACGAAAACAATTCACTGGATGAAAATAAATTAACTTTCACGAAGCCTCTCGACGGGTCATCTAATAATCAATCGTGCGGACGTGACAGCGGTTTAAGTCTAAAAATCGGTATTCATATTCTTAGCAAGAAACTAAACAGAAAATATAAATGCTTCTGATGCTTTACTTGGCTTCATTGGTAGAAATAGGAGTGAGTAATTTTGCCCTTATTAGGCCCAAAATCGTCTTCTTCCCTGCAACAAATTGTTGAAAACTAGAGTACCTGGAGCATTTAACGACTAATAGTAATGAATATTTCAGAAACTTTTTTCCACTTTTTCCACAAATGAGTATTTGCTAATGATGCAACACCTATGTCAGCTGGATGATCAAAATAATGGTCCTTCTTATTCGTCTTTCTTCACTCATTTATCAAGATTAATGCTGACACAGTCAGGTTCCACAAACACATGCTGTCACAAAAATCCATTGACATGACTTCAAAGATGCGAATCATGTAGTTTATAAAACGTCTTCCATCAAATGCTTTTTCAAGCATAAAATTTCAACAATTTATCAACATTGGTCTGCGTGAAAAGAGTCTTAGAAATTTAGAAGGAAAAAAAATATATATATATATATATATATATATATATATATATATATATATATATATATGAAGTCTGTGTATTGATTTTTCCGTTTACAGTGCTTGATACGTAGAAGTAGTGCGCGATATATGTTGCGATAGTGGAAAAAAACAGAGAGACTATACTTTCATCCCTACAAGCCTGTTTCGTGATTGCGCACTAATCAGGGGATTTTATTGTTAAGAATATTCGTACCATCGTTTATATACTCTATAAATTTGCCTAAAGATGATACTTCAATTGTTACGCAGTAACGTTTTGTTTCTGTGGCGGCATGAGAATATTGTCCATACTGTTCTCTATATATTTCCTAAAGTGCTGACAAGGAGAATATGTTTAACAATCAAGAGCTTCTTTAGTTGGTGATTAGTTCCTATACTGTCATGACCTTGATGTGTGATACAGGGGTATCAGTTTAACATAACATTAGCGTCTATTTTTTCAAAGCGTTCAACAGATCTTTTGTGAGTCTCACTGCTCGATAACCTATCCAGTACCTTTTCATGCTTTAAACAACTTCCGCGATTTGTTTATCGCGACTGCCTGCATCGTCGAAGCATATAATGAATTAATTTTGCCGACAACGAATGTTGCTTTTAAAACAGGATAGAAATTAACCCTTTACACCCCAACATCAGTATTAATATTCTCCATACTGTTCTCTATATATTTCCTGAAGTCCTGACAAGGAGAATATGTTTAACAATCAAGAGCTTCTTTAGTTGGTGTTTATTTCCTTTATTCTCATGACCTTGATGTGTGATACAGGGGTGATATCGTGAGGAGAAATTAGATGCTAATCACTCTAAGGGATTAAAGGGTTAAGCTTCAAGCATTTGCCCTTCAACAAAGTTGTCTCAAGTTCTGAGATTTTCAACTTTTCGTTCTAACATGGAAAACAAATCCATCTTTCCTGAAGATTAAATTTTTTAACCAAAATACCAAAAGAAAAAGTAAACTGGTTCTCTGAATTAATTAACACTTTGCACCCAAACGTAAATACTCATGTTCTCCAAACTTTTCTGTTTACATTTCCGATGGAGATGTCGGAGAAAATTGGACAATTAAGATTTTCTTATGTTGTTTGTTACAATGTTTGATTCAGAGGTAACAGTGTTAGGAGAAATCTTGTTTGTCACTCTTAACGGCAAAGGGTTTAGTGTATTAATCGGTTGAAGCCTGTTCAAATCTACATTTCAATGTTTTACAGAGTAAATTCGGTTTGCATCTTTTTTGTATGATCTCCTTTCCAAATATCTGAGAGTCTCGCTCCATTCTAAGTTCGCTCCGCCACTAACTTTCCGAGTTCAGACAGATCTTGGAATTTTCTGCAAACAGCATATAATAATGTCCATCCAGATAAAAATTAGAATGATGTAGCGGCCTAGTATCGCTATCCTGTTCCAAGCGTTCTGCCAGTAAAACAAAGTGCTATACTAAGCCTCAGTGCGGTAGCAGAGGAGTGGAAAAAATACGAGGGAGGTTTTGGGTCGAGTGCATAATGACCCGACCCGACCCGAGCCTCCCCCGCTACTATAGCGCCGTTTCCCATTTCGCTCGGTTTTACCAACTGAAGGCCTGGAACTGGGTGAGCATGACTCATGCGGTAGTCGTACGCTAACTAACAGGCTACGAATTTGCAGTTTGATCGACACTTTTATCGGGATAACTCAATTGTAAATTAATTATTTCAAATATGTTAATTTTACGGTTAAATACAGTTCAACCAGCAAAAATAAAATTGGTATACATGTGTAAATTCTGATGAATTATATTGCAAAAACTGGAACACTGCATCAAAACCTTCCACATCATCATCATCATCATCATCATTTCAGTTTTAATTGCTGTTAAATCAAATAAATGTTGCAAAAGAGAGCTTAAACGATTCAACCATTTCAAAGCCATTTTACTAACAAAATTTATTTTTATGGGTAGTGTTTGATTGACAGTTACTGTTATTGTAATACGAATCTGTAGTCAGCAACCCACGTTTATTAAGATCGAGCTCTCTGTGATCCAAAGGCTTTATCAAGCCAACACTTCTAGAGGTTTTATTATACATTCGATTGCAGTCGTAACCAAAAGTGCAGAGCGATACGATCAAGTGAAAATCAAAACAGAAACGGAAGAAAAATATCGTTGCCTCTCACGACTCCTTCGGCTAGGTTCCAGTGAAATCCAATAGAATTGTTGGGATCGTAACCGGGTGACTGTTAGGAAGGGCCTGAGAACTGGCATTGGAGTTTACCTCAGAAAGGAAATATAAGAAATAGCAATAGTTTTCAATCATCCTTTCATGATATATCGATTAATTGATTGAGAATTTTCCAGATGAGTTTGTTCATTTAATTGCTACAGTTCCCAAAAGACTGAAGAAAGGCAAAAATGGTTGTACGGGATCAAATAGGTTGTGATAGATAAAATTACCATCCTTTTGAAACAAGGTCACGAAATTGCCAAATTTGGTGGCCTGTCGAGGATAAGGATACCAATGGCTAACTTCATCAAGCTAGTTCTATAATGAAATATTGCAATCTGTGTCTGCGAAAAGAGACAACTGAAAAGGTGTGAGGAGACACCATCCCATTAACAGTTTGGTCTAACAGTGGTGTTAGTGTAACCTTTGTTTCCCTAGAATCGTAAAATCCAAAAATCGCGAGCTAAAAGTGTAACTAAAGACATAAAAAAGATAGTTTGGTGGGGCATTCTTCTTCATCGTGTTTTAAAATGGTCGTTACTTCCTGATTTTATCTCTTCCTATCTGAGCTTTAAACCAAGTAGGACCGATTTACGAGGCTCGAGTAGAAAAGCCGGTGACATCACGAGATGCGATCGTACCGATCCTTTTGGGCCAATTTTTCGAATTTAACGAAGAATGTCGGTCATGACAAATCCTGAATTGGCTTTGCGCAAATGAAATGCTTTAAATTTCATTGAAAATTATAGAGACAAAGCTAACCAGACAAGAATATAAGGTTAAACTTATTGCTTTATTAGCCTTTAAGGCTTTAGGACACGACATTTTCTTCTTCATGGTGGCTTCTCGGCTTAAAATTTATGAAGTTGTACTGGGTTTCCTGTTACTGTACCAGGATGTAACCCATGGCTTTGATGTGTTTGTCTCCATTATCTGGCGAGTATGTTGCCTCATTTCCACACGTGTTGGAATCATCGTGTAGACCTCCTGTGCCAAAACCAATTCGGGAGTCACAGGAACCACAGTCATTCTGCTCGTTAGCCGTGATGCCGATTCTTGCTTTGGATAGACGAAGGTTGTCTCCAGCCGCATTGAATCCTTCCTTATTGCAGTTAGGCTGCAAGGAAGCCCGTGAACCAATCAGCGACTTCCACTTGTTACGACCCAGTGAGGTAGCGCGGTATTTCCCATCAGCGATCAGCGAGAACAGTGAGTTGGCGTGCCTGTTGATGACAATGAACCTGAGCTGAGGACCAATCTTCATACCGAGGCAGATCTTGGAGAAGGATGTGTTCCAGTAGGTTGGTAACTTGGTCTCTTGGGAATCAAAGCCAGTCTTGCCTCCAGCAAAGTTATAACCATTTCTGTTGCTCCAGAATTGGGAATAGTAATGGAAAGTTCTCTGAAAGACAAGAATTACATTTTTGATTTACCTATGTTCATTTCAGTAATATCGAGAGTTTCACAAAGGAGACAGGGAGTTAACCTGCGTGCCGGCAATCTTCATGGCCAGCGTCCATCCTCCATCCCCACATCCAAAGTTTTCCATGTGACAGAAAACAGGAATCGTTTGTGAACCAAACATCAGCGGGTATACTTGGCTTTGTCGCGACCTTAAAGAAAAAGAGGAATTAAAATAAATTGAATCAGCCTATGGGTAGCCATTTGTGCCAAAATATCCATTGCTAGTAACAAATTCAATTGTTCGCGCTAAAATATCAATCGCTAGTGATAAACTCAATCGTTCGAGCTAAAATATCAATCGCTAGTGATAAAACTCAATTGTTAGTGCTAGAATCGACTTGTTATCGATTTTAACTTGAACCAGTCTCCCGCTTGCTTAGCAAAGATGAATCAATCAAATCTTGCTTACTTTCTTGAAATCTAATAAGGGATAGAGAGACCGGCATGAACTCTTCATGTGGCTTTCGTAGTCGCGTCACATTATCGCCTTCAAATTATATTTTTGTATTCACAAGCGTGTCTTTAAGCGATATTCCCTTTTTGTCAGAGATGATTGGACGTTTTGAAAAATTGTTTTCAACAAGAGCTGGTTGCGTATTAGACTCCAATGCTCCATCACTATTTGTTTTAAGTTTTTAACTGCTAGGTGGTACGTGACAAAAGAAAATTAAGTGAGAAGGGGGAGGGGGGGTCAGAGTCTCCCGCTTCCCGTACCACGTTCTCCCACCTCCCGTACTTTTACGCCCTTTTATCTACCGACTCTCACCCTTCATGGTGTTGCTCCCGTCTTCAGGTTAATCAAGAGGATAAAAAACCCGGGTTTAATTTTCAAACGGTGCCAAAACTTAACATTCTTGTTCATTTTCTGGCCTTTGGTGGATATGAAGTGTAAATTTCAAAACTTAAATATATGAGTGTTTTTGACTAAATAATACCCAGTAATAAACAACAAACTATCGCCTTCTTTATTTCTGCTCCCGCTTCCTGCCCCCTGTTCTCCCGCTTCCTGCCCTCTCCCGCCCCCATGTCCCCCTCCGCAATAAATGTTGGTGACCTTTTAGCTTTTGTGTATGTGCAAGAAACGATCGTCTAGAGGCAAAGCTGACCCCTGAGAGAGACTATTCTATGATGTTTTCTGGGTACCCTCTTGCTTTGAGGCGTTGTTTAAATTTCCAAAGGTCCTCCTCAAATGTTTCTTTCGAAGAATTAGTTCCAGGCCATGTTATTGTTTCGCCTTTCTTGATACCATATACCAAACATTTCCCTGTGGTAGTGCGTTGGGATCGGTGCGTTATGGTTGTGGAACTTTTCCTATGCTTCACCCACTATGTATGTATTTGTTTACAAGCTAGAAAATTCCATTGATACTAGAATTGTTAAATCTTTCCGTTTGGATTTTCCCCTTATACCCAATGTCACGCGACCAGTTTTCCATATTTGGATTTGACCATGTGGTTGAAGTTTTTGCCAGATCTTGTCTCACTAATATTGTCTTGTTTTCTGGACCTTGGACTAATACATCAAAGCTGGCGACGAGAATGGGATCTCTTTTTGGCCAAGCACAAGCGGTAAACACGAATCACGTCTGAAGTTGACGAAGGCACGACAGGAAATGCCAAATGCAGCGTCGAACGTCAACACGAGTCAAGCCATCGGAAAAGTGAGAAAGTAGGTTGTGGGAACGGACTGGAAGTTATACACCGAACAGTTGCGTTTTTATTTTCTCGCAAATGGAGTCACGGAGGCTAAAACAAAGAAGGCCGTACTTTTAACAAATCTTTCAGCAGAAACTTACCAGCTTGCGAAGAATTTAGTGGCCCCAACGCAGCTGAAGGGTGACGCCTTTATGTATATTGTCATAGAGGAGCGGATGCAGAAGCAACTCAAACCTGAGAGGTCAGCGTTGGTTGCTAAATATGAGTTCGATAATCGAGCTGGGAATTCCGATGAGTTAGTCAGCTACTATGTAGCCACCTTGAAGCACTTGGCCACGGAATGTAAGTTTGCTGAAGCTGTGAGAACCGAGCGACTTCGTGACCAATTAGTTGCTAGCATTCGCGACTCAAAGATGATTACTGAGATATTCAAAATGAAACTAGCGGACTTTTCTTTTGATCTTGCGGTCCAAAAGTGTTTAGAAATACTACAAGTATTTTTCTTTGTTTTTCTGACTCTTACTTAAGATACATCTGCATTTACAACTACACTTTGGGCGCCGCTTTATGGTAGGTTATTTTTTTCCACGTCTTACGACCCAGTGAGATGGCGCGGTATTTCCCATCAGCGATGAGAGAGTGGAGAGAGTCGGCCTGCTTGTTGATGACAATGAATCTGAGCTGATTGTCGATCTTCATACCGAGACAGATCTTGGAGAAGGATGTGGTCCAGTAGGTCGGTAACTTTGTCCCTTGTAAGTCAAAGTCAGTCTTGCCTCCAGGAAGGTTGTAAGCATTTTTGTTGCTCCAATATTGGGACTCGTAATAAAATGTACTCTAAAAATTTTTAACAAAGAATAACCTTTTTTATTCCAATAAGATATCAGTAATAGCCTTTTCCAAGCTTCCACTTAATGAAGACAAGCGAGCGTCTCTTGACGACCGTTGACGCTTTTCAGGGAAAAAGCCGCAGATTTTGCTAATCCCCTTTGTCGTTTATCTCCACTATCCTGTATCAACGGTGAATTTCTTTGCAGATAAATTGCTACCTTATTGCGATTAGTCTTCATTATCGGCGTCCATCCTTAATCTCCGCATCCAAAGTCTCCCATGTGACAGAAAACAGACATTGGCTTTGAGTCTAAGTGCAGGATAACCTCGCCACTCTTTTTCGATCTACTAAGTAAAGAATCTTCCTAAATAGAGAGATTCAGTTGAAACTTGATGAGGGTCATGGCTTCCATATATTTAGTAAATGACACAAAGTACTTTTCAACGAGGCGAAAGTTCTCAAGATGGAAGCTGTGTGCAAGTTTATTATCAAGGTTGCTATGCTTAGCGCAGTATCATTTTCAGAATTATCATTATTAGTACTACTGTTATTTTCATATTCTCTCAGTAAATTCCGCGCCGGTTTTGTTCTTAGTGAATACTTGACTTACACATTCCGGTCGAAAATTTCCTTACACGTCGAAGCTGAAAAAAAGAAAAGGCATATCAACAGCAATAAACCCTTTAAGAAAGAAAGATGGGATGGAGTTTTGAAATGCTCTCAAAGGGAAAATTTACGTGTCGAATAGGAAATACACAATGTTCTTGGTCACTTGTGTTTTCGTAACTTGCATTGTTAGCGGCGTCTAATGCGCTAGATAAGAATAAAAGCAGCGGAGCCGCGAATTTAAGCAGCATCCCAAACCCCTCGCGGCCTCGCCGTTTTTTTACCCAAGCCGCTCGACGCTTCAAATGCACATCTTAAGACTGTTATCTACAGAGGCAAGCGTTTTCACGTCCATCAAGAAGTTAACTTGTTTTTAGTTTGAATTCTCAGAAGTTTCTAACAAGGCTATTATCAAAGTTTCTATCAATTTCCTATATATCTATATCTCGATATACATAATTGTTATAGACGAACGTCTCATCACAGTGATCTTAACAGACAGAAAGAGTACAAAAACTGGCTTAAGAAATACAGCAGGAGAAATGTTACCCGAACGGCAGATATTTCCATCTCCATAGTATCCTCGTTTGCATGCACAGTTAAACGATCCCTTAGTATTGTTGCACACAGCATCAGCACTGCAGTTCGTTTTTCCTGTAGCACACTCGTCGATATCTGAAAAGACTCTCCTTTAATTTGAACGTCATCACTGCAATTAAATTTGAAATTAATGCAGATTTAAAACTAAAGTGTAAACAACAAATGGAGACCCACGTTGGATCTGATGTCTTGAGAGTCTTGCAATTTTCCTGCAGTTATCTTGGCCATGCAGGAGTACCATCAACCCATTTGGGTATGGATTATTGAGTGCGATTATAATATACCGGAACTAAACTTTTACAAGTACTTTCAGAAGTTGTCCCTCTTTCATATTCACCATTTATAAAAAGTATATTAATTTTAAAAACCCAAAGTTATCCGCCGCTTTGCTCGATGATACCAATTAGAAACCACATATTTTTACATTTATCAGTATCTAGTTAATTCACATTAGACTCTGAAACTAGGCTCTGTTTTACCTTTGCAAATCCGTCCATCTCCAGTAAATCCTGCTTTGCATTTGCAACGATACGATCCCTCGGTATTGTTGCACATAGCATCAGCACTGCAGTTTAATGTTCCGTCAGCGCTCTCGTTTACATCTGAAAAATTAATGGCAACCGATTCAACAGGGAAAACCCCTAAACACGTGACCGATTTTATCATTTTATGAGTTGAAATCTGTGCCATTAGTCGCCATTCTTTTGTTCGTTCAATAAAATTAGGGCTTTGGTCACGTTTATCTTCGCAAGTCCATCCATCTCCAGAATTTCCAGGTTTAAATGAACACTTAACCTCTGGTATTGTTGAAAACAGCATTTCCACTGCAGTCTTGTGCATTGTTAAGACCTACGTGGGATCCGACACGATAGTCTCGCAATTTTGGAGCAGCTCTCTGGCCAAGAGTCAGTTAAGAGTTGATAAATGTGTGAGTTTATAGTAAACCTGACCTAACCTTTCTCGGGCACCTTTACAAGTTGTGTATAAAGCTGGAGTCAACACGAGCTAAAAGGCTGTTTGACGATTACCTTTCTTACACTTTGGACCTTTGAATCCAGTGGTACACAAACAGCGATATCCTCTGTCAGTAAAACCGCTTTGACAAGTAGAATTGTTATCGCAAGGGTTATCAACACAAGCGCTCTGAAGCCAAGAGAAGAAATAGTAACAATCTTAATATCATACGTTGAAATATCAATAAAATGGAAAACGAGAAGCATTTAAACCAACAATAATGATAATGCGAGAGACAGAAATGTTGACAGTGATATTAGAATTCAAGCAACAATTCCAACACTTATGACTGGGAAACTACTTTTTACTTTTACTTGAAATGAGTATTTCCTAATAATGCAACACCTACCTCAGCTGCATGATAAAAATAGTGGTCCTTCCTCTCCAGGTAGTGTTCGCGTCTTTCGTGAGTAACATTATTCAATTCACATTTGTACCCTCCGTCACCACTCACTCGTTTATAAAGATTAATGCTGACACAGTCAGGTTCCATATAACACATGTTGTTACAAAAACTCATTGCTCATTGCCAGAACTTCAACGATGCGAATGACGTGGTTTGTAAGACGTCTTCCATCAAATGCTTTTTCAGGGGTAAACTGCAACTGTCGGCATTGGTCTGCGTAAAAGAAGTTATCTATAATTACAAGAAAAGATATAAGAAAAGTAAAACGCTGGTAAGAGAGATAGCCATAATAGACGTGAAGATGATAATAACATTAGTAATAGTAATACTGATGATGGTTAGGTTTAGTAGTGAGGTTAAGCATTTATTGATGATTTCTGCGTCTGAATATAATTAGGCATCCTAAATTTTTCAATTCATCCATCCACTTGCTACCTTTTTTGCCTTCCTTTTTAATTTCTAGATTAATACCTTTCTAAATAAGTTACAAACAATTATCCGTACCGTCATCTGCAGGAAACTCCCAGATAGCAATTTGTTTCCACAGATAATGTAAATATTTAAGTAAGAAAATTTTCCATTCGAAAATTCCCCAAAAGCTTGAAGAAATCAATTTCTCAGTGAAGACGAAAGCTATAGGTTTAAATTAATAAAGTGGACTGAATCGCTGAAGAAATCCATGAATGAACAAGATCAATGAACAAATAACTTTTGCAAAAAGCCTGTCATTGCAGAAGATCTTTATATTCTTCCAATTAAATTACTTGTCAAAAGTTATATATCTAGTAAGAATCGCAAATTTTCCGATATTCCCTGACCGTGAAAGTTATTTGCTTTAGAAAAAGTCAACCACAACCGAAAAAATTCTTACTTTACCAACGCAATAAAAACAAAAAACACTCCAACCGACACAAATAGGAAGAGCGGCATAACAAAAGAAGACTTAGCAGACGATATAATTTACGAGTATAAACTTCTTACATATTAGAATACAAAATAAAAAGATTAATAAATGAATAAAGAGGTGGGTAGACAGGTAGAAAATATTGCAATATATAACTTGGATGACGAGGTCGATAACAAAGAAATAGTGTAGAAGAAAAAAAGACGCAGCAAAACCGAAGAAGAAATGAAAACCATTCGCAATTAAATTCACATAAAGGTACTCATACAAACTATCTGCCCAAGTATCTTTCCATCACTAATAATTTACTTGGTTAAGAAGTTTAAGGAAGTATTAATCTATCTTTAAACAGTTTCCTACCGCGGAAATAAATAGCAAAAGCTCTTTTAAACATGAAACATGCAGGTGTTAAAGGGTAGCTATAATTCTGAAGGACTAATGTCCCTTCTCTATTCCTGCTCATATATGAATACTGGCGAGGCTAACCTTGCGATGAGACAGAAGCGGACATCATAAGGCACAACAGCAAAAAAACAAAGATAAAAATTGAATTCTTCATGGCGCTTATCGCTTTCTGAAACCGACTTCCCGAAGACTGTAAAAATTGATGCAAAAGTTCGATAATAAAATTTGTCTAAATGATTAAAATCTCCTGACTTACTTTCAACCAATAAAATCCAGGTATTACCTTATCATTCTTTGTTTTAGTATGATCTCTTTTTTCATTGTACCAGCAGGTATTCAAATACTTGAGTGAAAATAAATTATTTATCTCACTTTCTGCTCTTTAAACAGTTTCCTATCGTGGAAATAAATGGCAAAAGCTCTTTTAAACATGAAACATGCAGGTGTTAAACGGTAACTATGATTCTGAAGGACTAATGTCCCTTCTCTATAGTCGCTCATATATGAGTACTGGCGAGGTTAACGTTGCGATGAGACAGAAGCAGACATCATAAGGCACAACAGTACCAAAACAAAGATAAAAAGTGAATTCCTCGTGGCGCTTATCGCTTTCTGAAACCGACTTCCCGAAGAATATACAAATTGATGCAAAAACTCGTTATTGAAATTTGTCTTAATAATTAAAATCTCCTGACTTACTCTTAACCAATGAATTCCAGGTATTACCTTATCATTCTTTGTTTTAGTATGATATCTTTTTTCATTATGCCGGCAGGTATTCAATTCATTGGGTGAAAATAAATAATGTATCTCACTTTACTTAGCTTCCTGACTAGTCAAGTAATAATTAATCGTATTGACATAACAACGGTTCGAGTCTAAAACTCCATTTCCGTATTCTCTCCATTGACTAAAACTTATAACAAGGTTTTTTCTTTTCCTTTCAACTCAATCAAAAATATTATTCTTATTTTTATTATTATTAAAACTATTGTTTGCTGCATAATTTTCAACCAGCAGCTGTTACCTGTGCCGATTGCTGATCTTTCATAAGACGTTAAACTGGTATGTAGTATTTCCAATCATTCTGAATTTGCAAGAGAGATAGCATCATACATCACTGTCGTGACAATTTTCCTTGTTTTTTCGTTTTTTGTTTGACACTTCAGTGAATACTTGAATGATACATTTGCTGATTTTCAAACAAAAGCGTACTACAATGTCTATAATTTAGAAGTTAACAATTATAAAGTCTCTAGTTTTAATTTTTTCATCACCAACAATAGATTCAAACTTAGCCAAAGTTAAGAAAAGCAAAGAGAACTGAGTAACAAAGGTATTAAAACTGATAGTGAGAACAGATCAATAAAACCAGTTATTATAGCTGCCTGTCAGGTTGCAGGTTTCAGATTTCAATTCATTTTCAGCTCATAATATTAGTTGTCGGAAAAAAGCTGAAGTGTCCTCTTCGAAAACGAACTGTATAACGATGGCACTGCTAAAGTATTCAATTGCAGGACGTCTGACAAGAGGGTCTCGATGGGGTCACAGCCTTTACGGCTCACGGTTAATTTCGTTCTGTTACGTTTAAAAGAAACATTTTTTACGGTTACCTCGGTATTTTTAGGACTAACGGCCAAGAACTGTCAATTTTTATGTCTACGTGTATTTCTTTTAGAGTTCTTAAACACAAGGTTCTATGTGATGAAATCTAAGGTTCCAACAACTGCACCCGTAATATTCATAGGCCTTCTACGCCTAAAAAAAAGGTCCACCGAAAAGAAAACACCGTGGGAAAGATTGTTTAGAGGCGACAGATTCTTAAGCCTACGCATGTTCAGATACCGATATTGGCGAAGTTCTATTCCGTTACGTAATGTTTTGCGACAAGAAAATAGAGATCTTTCGAGCAAGATTCATCGCGTTTCTAAGGTCGAAGTTCCAAGGATTTGTTTCAGTAGTGTTTTTAGCTGCGAGGATCTCTTAATTTCATCTCTCCACCGCAGTGCAAATATATGAATTTTCATATATCTAAAATCATCATTCACTTGGATGTTTATTTAGACCCAATTCTTTGACCAGCTCACAGTTGGCTTGTTAGACCGCTGCACCGGTATCGCAGAGGTCATGGGTTCAAATCCCGTACGGGCCTGAATTTTTTTCAGGTCCTATTCGTTTCAGTAGTGCTCTTAGCTGCGAGGATCTCCTAATTTTATCTCTCCACCGCAGTGCAAATATATGAATTTTCATATATCTAAAATCATCATTGATTTGTTGGACTGTTAAACATATTTGTGCCCTTCCTAGTGCCTGTTGGCGAAAAAATTCATGAGACTAAACTTGAGATAGAGGAATAAAACACAAAACTGGATATAGCGGGTAAACTGCCTTTATGACCCCTATTTTTTTTCGGCTTTTCACGGTGTAATTTTGAGTCGATCATAAAAAATTAATTCTTACCTCAAAGAAATAGTGAGGCGAACTCTTTTTTCTTTGTATTCATTGGGGTT